ATCCTTATTTCACCACTATATTTAACGAGATCAGGCAGTCAACGTTTACGATTGTCTATGAATACATACGATAAAAAACAAGGATCGTACATCACACCGCTTACTGCTGGCGTTTACGATACCTCACGACAGTATCTGGATGCCGTTTACAGTTGCCGCATTGTCGTGATAGTTGTAAACAACGAGTTTTACCGATTGTTGTTTAACCCTTTGAGTCCCATAGTATAAAAAACCTACACCTGTTTTATAATTATTTTTCATAACATAATTCATAAAAATTAGTACGTAATCTCTTGGAAGGAAGTAACAAAGAGTGTTCTAGAATCCGCTCTAACTATCTGTACAGGAGATATATAGTCGTCCATGTGTTTGTGTATAAAATGAGTTAATCTAACAGTCTACTTGAATTGAATTCAGCAGAAATAATTTGGGACTGAATGGGTTAAGATGGTCGCAATACAGCGTAGAGTATTGTATATGATTGCTGTAAACGGTAACCGTAAACGACTGGCGTTTTCACCGTAATTAACCAGCATACGGCTGTTTATGGTCCGAGGGTGATTGACCTAGGTTATTAGTGCAGCTCCTCATAGGGCTAATATGTGAAATTCACATAAAATCGTTATTCTACATACAATAGGAATATGTCTATAAGAGCGTTGGATATTTCTAAGAAGGAATGTCTGTAATGGATGATGTCTGTAAGGGAGAGCATCTTTTAGAGTGCTGTCTGTGAGGATGTAGAACATGCAACTTTCTAACTATACAGGGTGTCTAATAAGTTCTGATCCCTTTTAAGTAATACGCTTTTGTTAAGTGTTTTTCGATAGAATGAGCTGATATTTATAACATATATACTAGACACCTAGATCTACTCTACACTAGGATTTCAACTTTCTATTTCTTATAGTCACAGAGATATAAACAACTTAAAATTCAAAGGATTTTTCACATAATTAATGTTTGTGCCAGAATAAGTGGCCGTATGTTGCTTTTTATTTTCTAATCATTTGATACGTTACATAAACAAAAAAAATATACCATAAGATGCAGTGTGAAAAGATCTACAATCTACATAAGGAGACTTATTTTAATTCTGTATGATTTGTCTTCAAAACACCAAAAATTCTGTGCAATTGTTGTTTGACGTTGAGAAAAGATCACTTTTTTTGTACATGAACGAATTCTTTTTTTTTTGTTTATTTAGTCTTCTTATCACTCAATGCGTTTTACTAAAAAAGAACACAATATACCAGAAGATGCAGCATGAAAAGCTCTACAATTTACATAGTAAAACTTATTTTAACTGTGTACTTTTTATTTTCAAAAACATGTGCGACTATTTTTCGCGGCATCGAAAATTGGTTGCCGAGAATTTGATCTCTTTTGAAAACAAAAAGTACCTCATAAAAATTAACTTCACTATATAGATTATAGAGCTTTTCATGCTGCATTTTATGGTCTATTTTTTTTGTTGATTTAACGTATCAAATGATTAGAAAATAAAATGCAAAATACGGCCACTTATTCTGGCACAAACATTAATTATGTGAAAAAATCCTTTGAATTTTAAGTTGCTTATATCTCTATGACTATAGGAAATAGAAAGTTGAAATTCTGGTGTAGAGTAGATCTAGGTGTCTAGTATATATGGTGTAAATATCAGCTCATTCTATCGAAAAACACTTAAGAAAAGCGTATTACTTAAAAGGGATCAGAACTTATTAGACACCCTGTATACTTCAACACTTCTCTCCTATCGTGTTTCACAAAATAGTAGATTTTGCTAAATGAATTTTGTGGTTCTAGTTTTGGCGTTTAAATAAAATAACATTGAGAAACTGATTCGCTTGTGTTACCGGTACTAATCGAACGATTTTTTCGTACGTGTTGTTGAATGCTTGCATACACCTGAATGAAAAGACAGGGGTCATAAGAAAGCATTTTCACCAGCGTTCCGAATGGAATTCTGAAACACAATGTTTTCGTACACTTTGTATAATTGAGCAAAATGTACATGTACACATGTGCGGCAAGTTAGCGACTGATTCGAGTTTTTTCCAAAACGTTTCGCCCAACCACGCGTGCCAGCTATAGAATATTGTGTGCCAGATACAACTCGACGAGCTCTATCAAATGGTATATTTATATATCACATTGGAGCGGAAACCAGTAAGTGTATCTAAAAAAGATTGTTCATCATCATAGGGGAAAATAAAAGAAAATGAAATTTCTTAGGACAATTCGTTTCTCAACATGTGCCATCTCTGAAACTAACATAATTCGATGCATTTTGGATAAGCTCTATCTGAAGGTATATATTGTATCAAGATCAATAATATTGTTAATACATCGAATACTCTAAAAAATCTTAAATAAGTCTTTCACAGAGGTTTTTACATGATAATTCGCATTACAACGTGTGCTACTCGTGAAATCTACCTGATTTGATTCAGCTTGATGAGCTATTTTGAGTGATGTATGTTTCAAAGTTATAAAAATAGAATTTCAGATGAAAGGTTTCCAGAATCTCAGATAGATGTTCGGGTACAACACTGCTTCTCACACGTTGAGTTACAACGTGTGCCATCCCTGAAACTTACACTATTCAACGCAGCTCGATGAACTGTATCCGAGGGCATATGCTTGATAGTGATCACCATTACTATTTAGAAACCCGGATCTTCGGAATTCTTCAGGTACAGCCACAATCAAATATATTAGCTGACGATTCGCCCTACGTGGTATGCCATTTCTGAAACTTACAATATTCGACGCAGCTTGGTAAGCTCTATCAAATGATATGGTAGTGGACAAAAGTTCCGACCCTAGACGAAAACCATCTAAATAATGGTTGCATGCTTTGAAACTTGTGCTGAAGCAAGGTCTTGGCGAGCCCTGATTGTAGGCAAAAGCTCGAGCCCTATTCACTTACTGTGGCTGAGATATCAAGTCAACACCAAGGATTTTTCTTGTTATGTTATCTCGGGTTAGCAAAGTGATGCAATGCCGCCTAAGCCATCGTTGGAAAATCCCACTCTTAGTCTCTCATCTGTAAAATTTTCATTACAAACCGACGTATCTTCGTTAATTTGTGACCTGTATACTGCTTATACAACGAACTGGCATATTGCAACTCTACCAGTATTCGATTCAAATCTCGGGTTAAGCTTAGCCATTCGACCTGAAAATTTTTGTTGTAGACTGCATAAATGTGGGCAAACCTATGCTAAAATCTTCAGCATTATAATCTTTATAGAGATGGAGATTCATATCGTTCTACACCTATCGACAGACAGCTCTGAAAAATCACTAGCGTACGGCCAATCTAAGTGATCTTTTTAGTATATGTAACTCACCATCGGGACTACCTATTCCACTAAAAATATTACCTTTACTTCAGCAGATCGAAAAGTATCAGCATTTCCTTCAAATATCACATAATTTCGTCAAAACTATGAAGAAAAAGTCCTTGTTGTTGACCTAATATCCCAGCCTCAGTAAGAAGATAGGGCTCAGCTTTTGCCTACAATCATGATTCGCTAAGACCTTGCTTCAATACAAGTTTCAAAGAGAGCAACCCTTATTTAAATAGTTTTTGTCTAGGGCTGGGACTTCTGTCCACTACTTTATATGTTGTATCATGGTCAATATAACTTCTCAGACTGAGATCTCTAGAACTCTCATAGGAATTTTCTAAGGAATGTTTCACATAGCGACTCGCTCCACAAAGTGTGCCACTTGTGAAATATACTTCACTCGACTGAGCAGTCATCCTATTCCGCGATGTTGCGCATTGCGGGAATCAAATCCGCCCTCGGAATCAGTTCCACCCGATTCCAGAATTCCCAATCGTCCAACTAACGCGACTTATTCGAAAATGATCGAGTTCCCTCAATTTCCAGAATTAGACGGAATTGGATGGAATTCCTACCAATTCCCACCAATTACGTCCGATTCCGGAATTACTCATACATTGCAGTAATAGCATTGCTCCCATGTTATCATTGCATGCAATTCACAAACGGAATTCCGGGAATTGCTTCGACTAGGAATTGAACGGAATTCGACGGAATTGCATGCAATTCCATCTAATTCCCTCCGATTTCGGAATTACTTATGTATTGCAATAATAGCATTGCTTAGTTCTTATCATTGCATCCAATTGCCAAACGAAATTCTGGGAATTGCTTCAACTGGGAATTGCACGGAATTAGATGGAATTACGTGAAATTGCATGCAATTCTGTCTGATTCCGTGCAATTCCTAGTCGAAGCAATTCCCGGAGCTCAGTTTGGGAATTCGATGCAACAATAAGAAGGAAGCAATGCTCTTATTGCAATATATAAGTAATTCCGGAATCGGGCGGAATTCGACGGAATTGCATGGAGTTGCATCCAATTCCGTCTAATTCCCTGCATTTCCTGGTCTAAGCAATTCCCAGAATTCAGTTTGGGAATTGGATGCAATGATAACAAGGAAGCAATGCTATTAGTGCAATGTATAACTGATTCCGGAATCGGACGGAATTACATGGAATTGCATGCAATTCCGTCGATTTCCGTCCGATTTCGGAATTACTTCTACATTGCAATAAGAGCATTGCTTCGTTCTTATCATTGCATCCAATTCCCAAACGGGATTCGGGCAATGGACTCCATATGATGTCCTCTAAGAATATCCCCTGAAACTCGATTATGTCCTAGGGTAAGAGGTATATAGATATATAGATATAGGAGGTATAGAGGTATAGGAGATATAGGAGGTATAGGAGGTATCGGAGATATAGCAGATATTAATTAAGTAGTGCAGATAATCTTTATACAGTGCTTGACTTTGAATAGTAATTCAGTCAGATACATTCATTCAAGTTATCGATCCTTGCTCGAAAAAATCAATCATAAAAAATAAATAACTGTTTACTGTGTCTCCTATACATTCTATATCTCATTCAACTTATCGATCCTTGCTCGAAAAAACCAATTATAAAACAAAAATAAATGTTTACTGTGTTTCCTATATCTCCTATACCTCCTACACCTCTTATATCTCCTATATCTCCTATACCTCCTATACCTCCTATATCTCCTATACCTTCTATGCCTCCTATACCTTCTATGCCTCCTATATCTCCTATACCCCCTATACCTCATATACCTCCTATATCTCCTATACCTCTTATATCTCCTATACCTCCAATATCTCCTATACCTCCAATATCTCCTATACCTTCTATATCTCCTATACCCTCTATACCTCCTCTACCTATATATCTATATACCTCTTACCCGAGGACATAATCGAGTTTCCGGGGATATTCTCCGAAGACATGTAATCATGGTCACCACTAGGAATTACACAGAATCAGACGGAATTGCATGTAATTCCGTCTAATACCCTGCAATTCCTAGTCGAAGCAATTCCCGGAATTCCTTTTGGCAATTGGGTGCAATGATAACAAGGAAGCAATGCTATTACTGCAATGTATAACTAGTTCCGGAATCAGACGGAATTACATGGAATTGCATGCAATTCCGTCGAATTCCATCTGGCTCCGGAATTACTTATACATTGCAATAAGAGCATTGCTTCCTTCTTATCATTGCATGCAATTTTTGAAACGGAATTCCGGGAATTGCTTCGACTAGGAATTGCACGGAATCAGACAGAATGGCATGCAATTCCATGTAATTCCATCTAATTCCGTGCAATTCCCAGTCGAAGCAATTCCCGGAATTCCGTTTGACAATTGGATGCAATGATAAGAAGGAAGCAATGCTATTACTGCAATGTGTAACTAAATCCGGAATCGGACGGAATTACATATAACTGCATGGAATTCCCTGTAATTCCGGAGTCGTATGGAACTTCGGAATAGGACGGAATGGCTGGGAATTGTTAGGAATTCCGCCCGATTCCATGGAGTTCCGCTTCGATCTAATTCCTGGAATTGCGTTCTGGAATCGCTCAGTTATTTTAGATATTTATCTTTAATTGCAAACGCCATGCTGAGGTTGAAAATGAGACGGAATTCCGGAATTGGATGCAATTCCAGAATCGGAGGGAATTGCTAATAAGTTACTTCCTGTCATTCAGTCTAGGAACGAGTGAATCAGGAGCCAATAAACGTTACTTGTTCCATAATGTCATGGTCCGAAAAGTCAGAATTCAATAGTCCGAAAAACCGTAATGGCATGTCGTCATGTCTATCACGGTGTGCGGAGGAGGATGTGGCCAAGAGGTTACTTTTTTTGCTCTAAACTTCAACATTCAATTTTAATCGTATTTCGCAATAATCAGATATGTGGGGTTTTTGGGTAAGAGATATACTCTGTTATATAAACATTCCAAATGTGTCGTTCCAGAAGTAAGAAAGCATTATACAGTATATTTATTGCCTCTTCTCTTTGCACTGATTGCAAATGAAGAAACAACATTTCAAGCGTTTTCGATCAAGAACGATAGGTTACTCTTTTGTCTTTCATTGATTCAGCCATTTTACACTTCATATTAATTCGCTAGACATGTACTTCTCATTTCAGATCTATAAAGAATTATTACGGTTTGTTCAAACCCTATGAATTCGAAAACCTTTCTTCAAGAACCAGTGGCCATCGTGGGTATTGCATGCGAATTCGCCGGCGACATACATTCACCGACAGATTTGTGGAATGCACTTGAAAACAGTAGAGACCTCGGCACAGCCATTCCATCCGAACGAACCGATCTAGGATCGTTTTGTGCTCATATGCTTAACCAAGACAAGGATCATCACCTTCAGAAGCAACTCATCGGCGCGGGCTATTTCCTTTCGAATTCGCACTGGGACACCTTTGACCCAAGTTTTTTCGGCCTTTCCAACAGTGAGGCGACCAGTATCGATCCAGCTCATCGTCTGCTTATGCTCAAATTTGTTCATTTGCTCGACGATGCTGGATATACGATGGAAATGATGTACGGTTCACGCACATCAGTGCATATCGGGCAATTTTCTGCAGATCACACATATAACACATTGCGAATGAAGTCCGAACATCGATCCCGACTCCACGGACCTAATTCGATGCTTTATAATGCTGCTGCCCGACTCTCCTATCATTTCAATTTACACGGACCCAATGCTTCACTTGACGTCGCTTGTTCATCGTCAATGGAGGCTGTCCATCTAGGAGTACAAGCTCTTCGCACAGGCGAAGCAGACATGGCTATATGCGGTGGGGTCAATTCTATCTGCACGCCGGAAAATCTTCTCCTCGGTTCGATGATCGGTGCTCAATCGCCTGATGGGCGAAGTCGATCGTTCAGCGTTGACGCCAATGGTTATGCTAAAGGTGATGTCTATATGATTTTAATTATTTGTTCAGCATTTTGTTCTATGATTTCAGGTGAAGGTCTCGGTCTTCTTTTGCTCAAACGATTGAGCGATGCTGAACGGGATGGTGATCGGATCTATTGTGTTTTACGCGAAGTTCTCAGCCGCCACGATGGCAACGAGGGAAAGAATAATTATGTTGTTCCATCGGGTATCGGTCAAAAACGTATGCTCGCCGATATTTATGAGCGTGCCCAAATTGACCCAGGACATGTTTTCTATGTCGAAGCACATGGTACCGGCACGCCAGTTGGTGATCCAATTGAAGCGAATGCCCTTGGTGAATTTTTCGCTCGTTCATCATTAGATCCTCCTTTGCTGATCGGATCTATCAAAAGCAATCTGGGCCACACAGAAGGTGCGGCCGGTGTTGCTTCACTCATCAAGATCGCTATGTGCATGAGTCATCGGATAATTCCACCCAACATGCATTTTAAGGCACTGAATCCGAAAATCGAGGCTCAACGCTACAATCTGCATGTTGTTCAACACTTTGTACCCTTTCCACCATCTAATCACAATTCAATCCTCATCGGCATCAATTCCTTTGGGATGGGCGGTAACACAACACATGCCATAGTGGAAGAGTATCGACCAAAGCACGAAAATATATTGAACGGATTCGGTCATATTCTTGCCGAAGAAGATGGGGATGACATCAAACAGCACTTTATTTTTCTCTTCTCGAGTAAGTTCACGTCGTTTCTCTTCGTTTGTGAGACAGCTTTTATCATCTTTTAGCCAAATGTCACGAATCACTTCTTAAACAAGTCGCTCAGTTCAATTTTTGGCTACAAAATGCATTTACCAAGAGTCGGAGTGATCATGCTACTTTTCTCGCACGTGTATCTAAACAGCTCCTTCTGAAACGCACTATTAGTTATAATTACCTGGCCATTTTTATTTCTGCTGATCGAAAACATCTGCAACAGCAGATTGATGCGTTTCTTGTCCAACAGAGTGCATCTGGTCTTTTCAGCACAATACGTCCAGCATCAGCGCCAAGGAAGTTCTGTTTTGTCTACAGCGGCCAAGGTCCGCAATGGTGGGCTATGGGTCGGCTATTGTACAAGAGTGAACCGGTCTTTTGTCAGTGGATACGACGTATTGATAACGAATTGGCCAAAATCAATAATGGAGAATGGCGATTGTTAGATGAATTGATCGGGACGAGTAACGAAAACGAATCTCGTATCAATGATACCAACATTGCTCAACCTGCATTGTTTGCTATTCAAGTCGCTCTTACCGCCCTTCTCATCTCATGGAAAATCTTTCCGTCTACAATTGTGTCGCACAGTGCTGGAGAACAGGCAGCCGCTTTCGTCTCGGGTCGTGTCACATTACAAGAAGCTGTTCGCATCGTTTACCATCGATCTCGTCTTCAAAATCGTAATACTCGTCAAGGTGGTCGCATGCTGGCCGTGTCCATGAGTGAACAGGAAGCAAGAAGTGAGCTTCTCAAGGGAATCGAGCATCTTGTCTGTGTTGCCGTTGTCAATAGTCCTCGGTCAGTGACACTGAGTGGAGACGAGACAATAATTGATGAATTGCAGCAGATTCTCTCAACATTACATCCCCATGTGTTCAAAGCGCGACTACGCATTGAGAATGCTTTTCACTCACACCAAATGGATCGATTTGGCATTCGAAAAGAAATACTTGCATCACTTGAGGATATTCGAGGCCTGCCTTTGCAAGATCCAAAACAAATGTTTGACGTGATCTGCGCTCAAGCTCGACTATATTCAAGCGTCTCTGGTGGCTACGTGGACGATCGCACGCCACTTGATGCTCATTATTGGTGGTCCAACGTTCGAAATTGTGTTCGATTTGGTGATGCCGTGAAAGCTATACTTCAGGACGAGGCTGCGGATGCCTTTTTCGAGATTTCGCCGCATCCGGTCTTGGCGACGTCAATTCGCGAGTGTTATGAATTCGAGACTTTACAGCCACTCATTCTTCCCACACTCAAACGAAAAGAATGCGAACAAACAACACTTTTGACGAGTATCGCTCAGTTGACCTCGTCACCGGTCGTATGGCGGCAATATCTCAAGTCTCGTAGCGTGCTACCAACTGAACACGACAACAAGCTATTTGAAACATTTCCATTGTACGCTTTTCATACGAGCTCTTGCTGGTACGAATCAAAAGAATCGGTAATCGAACGTCTTTCTCACCGTCATCCCATTCATCCACTTCTCGGCATTCGTCAATGGACTCAGCAGACAAGTGCCACATGGAAGTGTCTCATCAATCTGAATCTTCATGAACATGCCTTCTTGAAAGATCATAAAATCCAAGACGCAATTCTATTTCCAGCCACTGGTTTTCTTGAAATGGCATTGGTTGCCTGTCGCCAATTACTGCCATCGAATGACGGTGCACAACCATTCGTTATCTTCGAACAAGTTGAATTCATCAATGCCCTTGTTCTGACTGAGCATCAATTGACAGAAATCTTCACTCAAGTGGTGATGCCAATGCACGAATGGTTTGTATACAGCCGACCGTGGACATCAGCCGGTCAAGATTGCATACGTACGTCAGGCATGTCGGGTACTGACGTGCTCAACTCATTTATTGATCCGCAGACACTCAACCAATATTCATTAAGCGAATTTACTGTTCATGCTCGAGGTCGAATCAATATAGGCGGTGCCAAACAACAACTACCTCTTCTTACTGATGTTACCGTTCCCCGCGACTTATGTTCGGCACTTGATCCTATCAAGGTCTACGCTCATTTATCGTTACGAGGTTATCAGTATGGATCTTCTTGCCGATTGATACAATCAGTTCATAGTACTAGATCAACGACCGCGTCTCAAATTGATTGCAGTATGTTTAGTCAGGAAGATCTCCGTTGTTATCATCTGATTCATCCAGCCATACTCGACGCCTGCTTGCATCCGCCACTTGCTT